GAATAAAGCATTGAAGAGAAATGAGAAGGGGAATAGGGCAGAAAAGGACAGAGAATAGTCTTTAAATAAGAGAAAGGCTTTCTTTGAAGTAATAGGGAAGAGAAGCAAGGAAACAAATATTGAGGAAAAGGCTGCTGGAAAATGTAGAAATTCAGAGACTGGCATTTTACCCAGAGCCTGAGTTTGATAAGAATGGAGATGATACATGATGCCACATAAAAGCCAAAACCCCATAAATGTTTAAGGATCAGCGCCCTAAAAGAAAGAGCTTAGGTCAGTATGCCACAGGCACTGCTCTGGAGAAGAGAGTTAACTAATAACTTAAATATCTGTCCATAATATGTGTAAAAAACACTGTTCTATCATGGGGAATTTCCATCTGAGTATCTTGTACTGCTAGTCTCATGCTGCCAGTAATAAAATGTCCTTGGAATTTTTAAATGTTACAGATGACAGTTTCTTAAATCAAAATGTGCCGTATCCAGCTCTGGGGACTTCTATATTAGACTATATCTTGACAGACAAAGAGGGATTCATTAGTAGACCAAGTTTGGAGGTAACTTCAAAGCAAAGTGTTTACTAACGTGTTAACATTTGTTACAGGAAAATAGAACAAATTTTGTACTGGCAATATAAACATTTGAATTTTCAGCTTTAAAAAAAAAAAGATGAAGTTAAATTGAGACTCACATATAGTTCATAAACATGTGAATATTAACTGGAAATGTTCAAGAACATTCTGGAAAAAACACAGATTTATAAATAAGGAAGGAAAATATGCAGCTGAAGCATGATGGGGAAGGGGGGAAAGAAAAGAATACAGTGCCAAATTTCTCTTTTCTATTTATGTAGAATCATGTATATATCAGAAATGGAGTATTATAGAAAACTGGAAGTTCGGATGACAAAATTGTAGCAACAGATTATTTATTTTAAGGAAAGACTAATGGAGGAATTGTCTTTGGAGGACACAGTGGTCTTTGCCCTCCAGCAAAAAGCACAGCAAGATCTAGTCGATGGAAGTGGGATTTGAAAACAGTCTCTCAGTTATTGTGTGTCAATTTACTGATGTTTTTCATGTGAATTCTATATTAATGGAAAGATTCAAAATTAAGTATGGATCTTCTAAAAAAAATCCAATCTGAATACAGGCATATTGCATGGTTGTAAGTGTTTGGTGTAGCAAAGGTCATATTAGATGCACATAGAGATTCCTTTTGAATTGCAATTGGTACAAAATTCTTACAAATGGAAGTTCTGTGACAAAAGAGGCAGCAGAGGAAGATATCACTCCTCCTTTACAACTAATAGATTTTGTTTAGCTAAGGCGTTGGAAGAATGAAAAGGGATGGAGTTTGAAGTTAAAGAAAAATAAACATAATTTGAAGAAGGAGAGGAGATAAGCATAGAGAGAGGCAATGCTAACTTTCTGAGCTTGCAGGGCTGGTAAGATTGTGAAGTTCATGACTGAATATAGAAAAGGAAATCTTAATAAAGCCAGTGTTTGTTACTGAATCCCAAAATGCAATTGGGGCAATTGATATTCAAGCAAGACTGGATGAGACTCTGGGCAGTCTGGTTTAGTGGCTGTCAACACTGCACATAGCAGGGGGGTTGAAATTAGATGATCTTTGAGGTCCTTTTGAACCCAGACCATTCTATGATTCTATGATATTCTGATAGCTCAGACAAGATGCCTAGCAGAGGGCTGCAAGCTGAAAGTTGACAGAAAGAAGTTTGACAGTTTTTACACTTACGGGCCAGGCGTGATATTTAAACAGGTGTCAAGTAGAGCTGATTGACCTCCTGAAAGAAACGGGAGAAGGAGACTGTACCCTGAAAGCTCAAGCAGAGCCAGTAGAGCTGTGCACTTGCTGGAGCAGTGGTCCTTGGAGAAGAGGGAATATGGACAGAAAGGAAATGTGATTCTCTCTGCATTGGATTAGACTGTGCTAGAAATATGTTGGAGAGAATGGCAAGATGAAAGATGGATGTACAGTTTGAAAACATTATTTATAGGGCAACCCGTCTAAGGCTGATGGGAAACAGCTAGAATGTTAGTCAAGATCAAGTGAAAGTGAGGCCTTATGATAAAGTGAAGGGGGTATCGGTTTCCTGAGGGAACAGGGGCTCTGGATGTATTTCTCCTAGGTGGAGATTAACAAGGACTTTGGTTTTGAGTTTGAAACTATTGCAAGTGACTGAGAAAAGAAGAGCTAAGAGATTGAGAGGGAGGAAGATTTGTGTCTCAGGCAGGCAGACTGTGAGTGCATTTTTACAGATGACAATGCTCTGTGCAAGAATGACTCACGGAGGTCACGTTTCAGCCCAGTCCATTTTCTGAGAAATGTGTAATTTATTTCTATAAAGGGGACATACTTATCTAGTTTAATTAGGCTAATTACAGGTCTGTGTCAAATATAGGAATCAAGAATGTGTAGGTGGGTAGAAGGCGTAGGTGTGTAAAGAGGGAAAAGTCCTTGTAAGGAGCATCGCTTTTCACTCAGAAGAAAATGACAGGAATCTGAGTAATACAGAATCTGAAAACCATAATGTTACAGAAATTGTGCATGGCTGGATACTATGGTGCTCAGTATTGAAGCCCAGCTAAACTGAGCCTTAGATTTTACTTGAATATAAAACATGGGAAAGAATGGATCTTCAGAGAGATTCATTTCTTTGTATTGTTCCAAGGCTTTTTTGGAAATGGGGCACAGTGAAGTAAGGGAGTAGAAAGGTTGATGGTAGAGAAACAGGAAGCTAAAAATAAGAGATTCAGGGGCAGAAGTCACACACACACACACACACACACACACACACACACACACACACACACACACACACACACAAAAAGGTGAAATGAAAGAAAGGAAGCATAATATTGCAGACAGAGACACTGAAAGCCCCAAGAAGATGACAAAGCAGAAATTACTGGATTATCTGTGGGCACTGAAGGATCAGAACAGTGCTGGGAACAAGAAACCCCAAAGGAGAGCTGGTAGGGTAGCAGGGCATGGCAGGGTTTCTCTCTCTCAGTGGTTCCAGGCAGGGAATTTGTCCTTCGTTTGAAAAGGGAGAGGCAGATGCTCAAACAAGTTGAGTGTCTGGAGTACATGACAGGAGTGATTTAAGTCAAGTTTCTATCACCACTGAAAATAACAATTGAACTAAATCCAAGATACTGACCTCTGCAAAGGTATTTACTGCATCCTGATGAAGACTGATAATGTAGCCATAAATACAGCAAGTAGCTGGAAACTCATGGTTGAGAAATATCAAGAACCCCTGAGGCTTTTCCTCTCTCACAGTGGGTAACGTATTTCAGTGAAATGTGAGAACAAAAAGATGATAACCCAGAAAGATTTATCTTCTTGCTTGGGCCCTGTGTTGCATACCAAGCTTGGATTCACTTCAGTCAACATTTTTTATGATATAGTGTCTCTTTGTAAAAAGAACTTTACCAAAGAGATTCAAATGGAAAATTATGCAATCAATATATCTGACTTTAAAAAGCAATGGAATAGCTAACTTTCTCATAACAAATGTTATTTTGTGTCTGTCCTGGAGAGTGAAATGACCGGAAATTCTTTATCATTTGTATTAAATCATTCTAAAACTAAAACAGTTGGAGGGTCAGCTAATGTGAGCACTTTAATCTTGCTAGAAAAGCAAATTTTTGTCATGTTTGTCAAACAAGAAAGCTCAGTTATGGTGCAGTCCTGCTTCAAAAAGCAAGATGGTTTTTAAAGCACAAGAGATTTCACCCAAGGAAAATACTATTTGTGCCCAACATATTGAAATGGAGTATAAGAGAACTGTAAAAAGACAGCCCCTCCCTTCTGCTTCTTGAAAGACTGAATAAGCAGCCACAGTTATTGTCTCCCAGATCCTATAGCACTGCAACCCTTCCGTACCTGCTTGCCAACCATTTAAGCACCGGGACTTTCCTTGATAAACAGTTGTCTCAAACAGATTCTTAGCCCTCCCAGTCTCATTCTGAATTATATTCTTTCGCTGAAAGGTGTTAATGGCCATAGTCAAGTGGGACTTTGATCTGTGGATAATCAACAGACTTGAAGCAGACGGATGTGCTAATCACACAGGCTGCTGAACCTCACAGATGGGTGTGCTAATAACCCAGGCTGTGAGGAAGGATGCAATAAGTTTTGTAGTTTTGATAATGAAATATTTGAAGCTTTTGTCTCCTAGTTTGCGGGGCAAAGAAGCTGATCTGTTTGTAAGCATGGAGGCTAAAAGATTTATGGGGCTGTGTGGAGGATAGAAGAAGCTGCAACACTTTTTGAAGAGCCCACATAGTTTTAAGATGCAAAATACTGCATAAATGACTCAACAGGCCTGGAAGTTAACCATATACCTTTTTTTTTTTTTATCCCCTAAGTAGCAGAACCTAACACGGATTCCTCAAAGTGTCCTGAATTGCTACTATTGCTAGTGAATGCACAGTTGAGGCTGTCAGACACAAAAATAGCAATTGTTTGTTTACCTACTTAAATTAGTTATGACATGAATTATACATTTGGGGCAGCTTTCTGTCTTGAAGAAATCAATTAAATATTCTGATTAAGACATTTGATTAAAAGTAATGTAACATAGCCCATTTCAAGGATAATGTTGAAATATATAAAATAAAACCATGCTTATTTTTTTAATAATTTGTTTTATTAAACTTCTGAATAGGTAGATAAAGTTTATATGTAACATAACCTTTATGCAGTATGCACCACTGGTGAATCAGCACTTCAGTTGAGACTTAAGAAATTGGAATATTTAGGACAAAACAAGCAAGTGCTTACTGCAGTTAATATAAATGTACTGCTGACAGCACTCTTCTGATTTTGCCACTGTTGAAACAGAACTTCTGAAAGTGATTGAAACAAATTTAAGGCAATGTGGAGAGATGGGATTAGGAAAGATATTCATATTTTGAAACTTCCTTGCCATTGGGTTTTCAATGGGAATTTTCTTTCCACAAACTTAGGCTAATATCTCTTTCTTGTCAAAGTCAGAAGGACATGAATGTTGCTGAGTGCGTGCATCTCAGTATCGTGAGGACCAGGTAAGCTCTTCAAGACAAGTAAACAAATTGTTTTGTGAAGTATGCACACGTGAGCATTATCATCCTTGAAAGCTGCATTAGATTTTCAAATGTTTCACTTTGTTACCTATATCAGTGCCTGGCAGTCTGAAAAATTTGCTAGAGAGAATCTCTACATTAGGAAGGGGGAACAAAGATTTGCAAAATTTTAAATATGAGCGTATTCCCTTTGATTAGAGAGCTTGGCTAGTTCTAAAGGAAGAACAAAGCATAGTATGCCTGCTATATGGAACGTATTTAAATGTATAAAATTGAATTTGTAAAAATCATATTATATATAATAATCCACTATACAAATTTGTAATTTATTTTAAATGAACAATTTTACTTGGTTGATTTCTGTGCAAAACAACTCTGCTTTTTATATGGAAAATTCATAAAGGAAATACAAAGGAAGATTGAGCAATTCAGAAATAAAGGATTTCTTCCAGATTTTATCCTTGGATAGCTTTATCTCAAATGGCATCATCTGTTTTCTACTCATTTTCATTGCACGCTTATCCAGAATGAGATGACCTGGGCTCTGCCTTTGTTTTTACTGACAGCTCCAGTCCTGCAACACAGATGGACTACTGGTCCTGCGTAACAAATATTTAGATTGAGACCAACAGTGGTAGGTCTATAGAGCACAATATGAAACACAGTTCTAGTCAGCATTTTGAAGTGTGGGGAGGGAGATGAAAATAGGGGGAAAGGGAGACTCAAGCGTCTCTATTTCTGAAATGAAGCAGCTTTTGAGGGTTTTAATCACTGCCATTTGACTTGATGTGGCTGGTTCTTTATGTGCTTCTTAAGGTAAAGGAATGGATGATGCTTTATAAGATAAAGTGAAAATTATTTCTTTCCTTCCCCAGATGCCCTGAATTGTCTAGAGTGAGCAGAAAACCTCCACTGGATGGAGAGGACACTGAGAGCCTTCTGCCACGGTAGGTGTAAGTTGTGAAGGTGGACCCTGGATGGAGATTTAGGTTAGATGTTAGGTGGAAATTGTTTACCCAGGGGGCAGTGAGGAGCTGGCACAGCTGCCCAGAGAAGCTGTGGTGCCTCATTCTTGGAGGTGCTCAAGGCCAGGTTGGATGGGGCCCTGGGCAGCTGAGCTGCTTGGTAGCAGCCCTGCACAAAGCAGGAAATTGGAACTGGATAGATTTCAAGATCCCTTCCAACCCAAGCCATTCCGTGGTTCTATGAAGCTGGGTGTGATGGGCCCTGTAGAGGTGCAAATAGCACCTTTGAGCTAAGCTTGACGCTTTTAATTGTTCTTCAGATTTTCAGTAGCCATTAAATCAAACTATCATTAGCACAGTCCATGATACCCAGTTCTTGTACAGCAGATCAGGCTGCAGCTCAGCCATTTGTATGCCCTTTTGGATGCTTTCAAATTCTGGGGGCAAATCTTCAACTTCCTGGTCGCAGAAAGGAAGCAACAAACAAATGGGAAGTGTTCTTAGAGAGACTCTCACACACACCTTGCTTCTGTCTTTGACTTTTTCACTGAGGGACAGCTGCTGTGCTGCTTGTTGCCATTCTGCATTTCACTCTGTGCCTCTTCCAGTATTTGGCAGTAGGTGTGCTAGGAAGAGGATGCCTCAGATCTTTCCAGGGGCTGTCATCAAAACTGAAAAGTACCTTCTTGTGCCCCATTGAACATTGCTTGTGTTTACCTTGCTCATGCCAGACTCCTTGCTGCTCTCAGCAGCCACAGACTTGCTGAGAGGGAGAAAAACCTGTGCAGAAGCTGAACTTGTATCACATCACTGGAGTGTATTATACGAAACTCGGTACAAATAACTTGTTAACATATACTCCAACAAGTAGAAAAAAATATCCCAGATCATTTATTCAGACTTGTTTTGTGATTAAGGTCATTTTTTGTAAAAACCTCTGTCAGCATTTGGATTTGATTACAGTAGAGCTAAAACTTCATCCCCATTTAAGGCTCTTCTCTGCTTCATACATTCTGTCTGAGACCAATAAGAAAGCACAAAATCAGAAATTTGAGCTGGCTGCCACCCGTTTTGCTGCTTCCGATGTGGATACCTACTCCAGACAGCTGACTTGCACTATGCTTCCTTTGCAAATACCTTCAAATGCGCGCAGAGCAGAGTTTGATGGGCTCCTAGCTTTCAACAGGCTGCGTTAGGAGGATGCGACTGACACCTAGTGTTTTAAATAAGGAATATGAAAACGCCAGGAAACCCGTCGGGTTTGATTTTCAGAGGTGGTGCTGCAAGGGGCAATGCATTCGGGAATGGCATCTTGCAGCCCTGTGAGAACGCGGGGAGGGGCGAAACGGTCAGCGAGGTGTCCAGTGTCCTCGGTTTGCTCCATCTGACTTACTCTTTGCTAGCTAAGGAACTGAATTGCTACTGATGTGTGTATTCCTTCCAGTACCTGAAGGGAGTGTATAAATAGGAGGGGGTTTGACTGTTTATGAAGGTGGGTAGTGATAAGACAAGGGGGAATGGTTTTAAATTGAGACAGGGGAGGTTTAGGTTAAATATCAGGAGGATGTTTTTTACACACAAGGTGGTGATGCACTGGAACAGGTTGCCCAAGGAGGCTGTGGATGCCCCATCCCTGGAGGCATTCAAGGCCAGGCTGGATGTGCTCTGGGCAGCCTGGTCTGGTGGTTGGTGACCCTGCACATAGCAGGGGGCTGAAACTGGGTGATCATTGTGGTTCTTTTCAACCCAGGTCCTTCTATGATTCTAGGAATCAATCAGATCACGGATTTGACATATTGCGTATCTAAACTAATTGCAGTGGGAGTGGTATGGGAGGTGATGCACTGTAGCCTATTTTGAACAAGGAAGAAAATACACTCTCTGAAAGCAGGATTACAATAAATCCTAAAATAAGATTCTCACGTATCAAGCTCAAAGCTGGTGAAACACTGCCTAGGTTCAAAGGAAATGAGAATATTCCAAGGGCACTGGATATCACACAGCAACAACATTGCAAGCTGATGAATTCAACGTTCCTACAAGTAACCCTGACAGTTAAACAGCTTTTCAAAAAAATTTTTGGTTTATTCAAATTCCTATTTCTAAAAATAAGGATTAAATGGATTGTGAGATCATAAACTGTATAAAAACAGATGTATGCTTAACCTTGAACAACAGTTAAAGAAGTTAGCATATGAATAACTAATCATCACTGCAAGTATCTCAAGACATGATTAATACAAAAATACCACAATTTTGCCAGAAATAGAATATTTTCTTGAACTAAATGTAGATGTATGACATTTTTGTCTCTTTAGATATTTACCATATTCAAGTAAAAAGTGGTGATAAAATTAGATTAAGTGAAAAAGTTACTGTAACGGTAGTGAAACGAGCAAGCTCACAGACTGGTTCATTACAAAGAATCCAGACCAAAGTTTAAGGCTGCTGTGGCTCCCACAGACTTGCACACATCCATACATGATTAGATTACCTCAAGGCTTCAGAGTTGTAAAGTATTCTTGAATCAGAAGCGAGCTGTAGATCTGGTGTCTTAGATTAGATGAGCCTAATATCTTTAGTGCTTTGAAAGTCATATAAAGTCACTAGAGACTTCTTGAATTACCTTTTGGAATAAATTCAGCATCTGTGTTGCTTGATAAAAGAGTTACACAGATGACTGAAGTTTCTGAAGGCAGGGAGCATCAGCAGAGGTCGTTTGCCGAAGATCATGGGACACAACAGGAAATGACTAAGGTGATTCACAAAGGTCCAGCTGAGGGGAACCTTGTTTCAGGGACATAACTTGCACTATTCTGTTCCTGAAAAAAAAAGTGATGCTATTCTATTACTATTATATTTTATATTGGATCGCCACTGGGAAACTGTTCATCATGAGTTAAGACAAGTTTAGTGGAAGAGTACTTGAAAACAAAAGGGCATAAGTTAATTATATTCCATCAATACTACTCATAGAAGAAAACAAGCTACTACAGGAATTAACATACTGTATGGATAAATAATTAAGGCAACTGTGCTTGTTCTGAATGGGTGAAGGCCTTTGGTCATGGTGGCTGTCATGGACCCTGAATTTCAGCAACAGCATAAGCAAAACCAAAATGCTTCCTTAGATAGTCCTCACAGAACAAAGTGATATTTTGAAAGTCTTAATTTTTATATGACTCTTAATTACCAGAAAAAATTGATGGATAAGGGTAGGTACTTCTGGTGAATGAAGGAATATATAGAAATTCTCACTGGGTCTGTACCTATCAGCCATAATGGATTCTTGTTTACTGTGTGCTTTGTTTGGATTGACAGGCATAGGAAGGAAAAAATTGCCGGCAAGTCTGTAGTCATCATATTTCCCTATGTAGGGTTCCTTCATTTTGATTACTGCTGTTACTCTGATCATTTTCTTGGTACCTGTGAAAAAACAGCAGTTTTCTACAATTCACGCAGCAGTATGACACCTCCAAATTGGTATCACACTCACAGGATTTTGTTAAAGTGATGACGACACCTATTGAGTTCTAACTAGCAATGTTTTTATGCTTGCTATAAATAATTACTCTCATCAGCCATATTCTTGACCATAATCATCAGAGAAAGTTGTAGTAATCTCCACATAGTGGAGGGTCCACAGGTCTTCACACGTAGTAACACTGATTTATTGTCTCACCTTCTTCATCCAATTTAAGAATGGTACAAGAAGAGTTATCTTTACAGGCTTTGATTTTGTTCTTTTTTTTTCTTATTTTCTGTTTAACTTTAGAGTCTGACTCCAGTGACTTTGGGAATGGAACAGAACAGTTTTCTGATAAAGAGAGCAATACATTTCTTTAAGAGTCAGATAGTTGAGAGAGCTTAAAGGATGCTATTCCAGGTAACTTATTCTCTCTATTTGATATGCAGAGGTATTGATGCTCATCTGACCAGGTTAGGAAAGAAAATAAAACTGATGTTGCTCCTTCACATCACTGGGAGATGCACACCTGTGCCAGTGCAGGGGGAGAACAAAGATGCAGCTGGGGAAGAGAAAGGAAGGCAGGGCCATTGCACCTCCAAGGCTATTATGAAACCACAGCCACAGACAAGCTTCAGACAAGTTTCCTGAAATTTTGGAGCAGAGTGTAGGACAGGGATGGCATAAAGCATGCACTATTCTGACATTTTGCCATATGAAAAAGAGCTAGCACCCACCCCTAGGTGTAATCTACTGCTTGTGTGTGAGGGCTGGGAAACAAAGCAAAAAAAGATGAAGTCATTGTATTAACTGCACTTATAAAGTCACTCACAGTCTGCTGCATGCAGGTTGTATGAAGGCACAGACTTCACAAAGCTCTTTCTTGGTTTGTTGAATCTATTACATACTTCTGTATTTCTCCAAAAAGATGATGACAAGTAAGATTCTTAAGAATTAAAAATATCTGGGGGACTTTAAGGTGGAACGGGTAAGGAATTCATTTCTAACATATGCTTATCCTGCTTATCCAGCATCACTTCGATTTGCACTTAATTGGCTACTGAATGGCTGTTTCCATGACAGCACAGCACATATACAGTAAGGGCACTTATCAACACTGATAAATAACGGATATTTAGACTTCATGGAGAATTCGCTTCTCTGTACCTGCCTTTTACATTTGTCAGTAAGAGACAATACATAAACCACAATCCATGGCACCAAGATAAAAGCTGACTTCCAAGGCTCCCATGTGCTACAAGACAACAGCTGCCTTTAAATTAGGTCAAGCACCAGCTTTAAACTATATCAGAACAGTTAACTAGCTAACAATTGTGAATTAATGCACAATACTGTGTCTTACCTGTACTTGTCAAAGCTGTCCTAAGCTCCTACTAAGCAAGAATGCTTTTGAGATGGAAGTGCTTTCTCCTGTCATACTAAGATTTTTCTAGCCACACTTTCTGGTAGAGAGAAACTCTTACAGAAAGCAGATGTTCCCTGTGGTTCTCTGCTC